GTATCTTGTTATAGCTATTTAATTGTTAGTAATGGAAAAAAAAGACTTGGGGACCTAATTTGTATCTTGTTACAAGCAGGATGTTGTATGAACAGTGCTCTTATATCTGACATATTTATCAATGCATGGGCTATTGCTGGACTTGGGTAGACACATATACTTGTAGTTCAAGTTATAAGTACTTCCTGGACATGTGGCATTTAATGATATCCACGTATGAAATTTCCTATGCTGTGCTGGTTAATGTTTACAGACAGGGTGTACCACGGCACAGATGGCATCCTTCATTCTGGAAGCCTGAACCGCAGACAGTCTGACAGTTCCTGTTCCCTTTTGAATGTTTTCAAAAGTGTTCCTGATATCAGACCTGTGTTTCTACTCAGAAATGGCTATATTATTAATGTTTTAATGCATACCTCTAACATGTCCAAGCTTGAAAGAGAGGATCCCCCCTACCCTAGCTTCTGTTTTCTGGAGTACATAAGCGGCCAGACAAAGCTTTTGTGTGGGCATGCCCCAAGGATTTTCAGACATTTCTAGTTCTCAAGGAGACAAAGACGAAATTCAGACAAGCCAGGTACCAGTAAATGACATGTGCATGATTCCGGATGAAAAACTTCGGACCTGCCTGTCTCTTCTTTGCTGGTGAGGGTGCATTTTGACTCCGGGCAGATTGATCACATTATATATGATTTTTTTTCAAGGCCTTACACTCGCAACTCCAGTACATGCACAATTGACCTAATGCATGATAAACTGATTATATTAGAAAAAAGATGCTACAAACACCATAACTCCTCTCCACCTCCGAAATCAAATATTCTTGTTTTTCCAAGTTTAACTGGCCGAGTATATCTCATTACCCTCCTCTCCTCTCGAAGCTCCGCCTCCCTCTTCCTCTTGGTCTCCTCTTCCAGTCTCTTCTGCTCTTCTTCTTCTAGTCTTTCTTTCCTCCTCCGTTCTCGCCTCTCCAGGAGTTTGCCGTACTGTCCGAGCCCCTTGGTCTGTTCCCGATGGATGATACCTCTCAACGCTGTCCAAGAAAATGGCAAGAAATACTGCATAGAATCTCAAAGAGCCTCAAATGAGAGTAGCACCACTTCATGTTGGGATTATTCGACAGTGAACTGGTCCCAGGCTCGGGTATATTTTCAGCACAAATTCTGACTTTTCCACAAAAAAAATACAAAAATATAAAAGACATGGTTGTAGGTCAACTCGACCGTTTGCCAACTCGACTCGAGTCAACTCGACCGTCAACCAACTCGACAGTTGAACCGACTTGTCCATTGACCAACTCGACTTCAAAGTCGAGTCAACTTGACCATTTACCAACTCAATGAACCCACAAAATCAGCTGAAAAGCAATCAATAATTGAACTTGTGCCAATGAGATACTCCAAAATAATTTTCCCAATTTGAGAAGAAGCACGTACGCACGAACCCCCGAAATCTGTCACCACACTGTGCGCATGCACAAATCACATAATGCACAGTAAAACGAATTACACAAGTGATCCAGAACTAGGAAAAATGCATTCCTTCTAAGCCCTGTCCCTGTTGCACTGTTTGCACGGTCGAGTTGGTCGAGAGTCAAGTTGGTTGAGGGTCGAGTTGACCTTTACGGTTGAAGGAACAATGGTTGAGTTGGTCAACGGTCAAGTTGGTCGAGAGTCAAGTTGACTCGAGTCGAGTTGGCAAACGGTCGAGTTGACCTGACACCTGTTACGTACCACAGTCCATTAGTTGGTTGGACTTCTTGAAATGTTGACCCTTGTGGGCCATTTGTACAAGATTTGTATAACGTTTCTTACTACAACTTCATTTTTGCAACACATCGAGGCATCACCATGGAGCAATAGTTGGTAGAATGTATACGACGGACACTTATACAGCATGCAAGTTTAAGTTCAACACAGGGCTGTGTGCACCGACTCGTGCTTGTGAACGAAACAAATAGCTAATCTGTGACCTGTCATTGATTGTACACTGCTAGAATGTGTGAACACTAACTCTATAAAACTGTCAGTGACAATTACTGTGAGCTTACAAGTCCCTCAAGTATGAACTACTTAATGTACACGCAGCTCTCTCATTGACTCTTAAACTGTTCACTGACCAAAGAGGCCAGAACTGAAATGTGTTCGATAGATTAGTTTTTTTGGGGGGGGGTTCATGGCTTTCAGAGAAATGCTAATTTTCACAGTCCTGATTTTTTTCATATTTATGATGTTACCTATCATCCAGGCTTGTCGGGTTCGTGGGTCGGATGCACTCAGCTCATATCTTGTTTTGTCCTTGTCACTCTTGTCGTCCGTCCAAATAGCAAAGCAGTTTTTGTAACTCTTCTGGTCATCAATGATCTGAAAAAGGGGAGAAATTCAAAGAATGAAACACTTTTGCTTTGTCACTGTAAAATGGAATAAATGAATGCCCTTTTTTCACTATAGGTTTACTGTTGAAGGATTTGAGGATCTTTCTCTCACCAAAGTAATATTCTTTGCACTGAACGGTGAACTATCAGTTCTGTGCATGATCTGTTGAGGGAGCTCTTTCTCCTCTCACAATCTCCAAAGTCAAGTACTTCCTTTAAATTACCCTGATGGCCAGTGAAGTAATTAGCTTTTCCGCATGTGGAACGCAGTGCCAACATTGCATCTGTGCTTGTGAGGACTTTTCAATCGAGTTTGACCCGTGTCAGAGGCCACAAGGTCAACAGGTCAATGATAGGCTGGTCATTTCTCAGCCTCAGTCAAAAGCACATTTTTAGAACTACGGCAATATCTTCGGTCAGCATGTACATGTACCTGCTGACATGTAGTTGCAAGCACTAAGGACAAACAGGGTACGCAGGACAAGGCCAGCAATCCTTAATCTGAACCTGTGTCCAACTCTGCTTGCTCTCAGCTAGGTCAGGGTATTCATCTGTTGGAAATACAATTGGTAGTGCTGACAACGCACACAGCTGTAGTCCAGGAGGCCTGCAACGGACACAGCCTGAATGAGGGTTTGGCAGCGTTCTATCAAACAAGGCCCTTAATTGCTTCCGACATGTGACCAAGCCCCGCTTTAATGTCAGACCACGTCCTATTGTTACAGCTGTGGCTGCAGTCGGATATAACATGAGTGCACCCCTTTGTCTCCTTTGGTCCCCTTGCAACATCCATGATAACTCACCTCTGCCTTCCAAGATGCTCGCATGCGGATATCTCCCTTCTTGTCCTTCTCATTCCGACCGGTGTAGTACGACAGACAGCCTGGCTTCAAGACAAACCAACGCTCCTTCCAGCTCTTCATCAAGTGACCCTTCTTGAACAGAAAGCCCTATGGATACAGATACACACATGAATATATGATGATGCAGATGTGTACAAGTATGTTATCATCTGCGTTTTTTGCAGACGCACCACAGGCAGACATGGTTGAAACAGAAACTAAGTGACCATTAATAACATTGTTTTGCAGTTTGCTTATAGCTACTTGGAACAGATTTCACTTTCATAAAGGTGAAAGATTTCCAAATATAAAGTGACACATGACAGACAATGGTGAACTGTCTGTTGTGGCTATAATGATGAAATTATAAAATTCATGTGCTTTATTTATTATGTGATTAAATGTTTCTAGTCTTTATAAGCTTATAAAGCTCAGTGTAAAAGTAAACCTGTGACTGTCTCGAACCTTTTTCCTTAACGTTGAATGGACTAGGGGAAGTCTGTTTTTCTATGATTGCCAGCTGTGTGTAGGCCTACCTCGTGGTCTGGTTGTCACTGTTAGAAAACTTGTCAAGTCTTCGACACTGTGCTGCTCAATTTCTGTATATTGTTATAACTTTACAATCTTCTATTGTATTGTATTGATATATTGTACATGCATTGCGTGTCCAACCTGAATGAAGTCCTGGAAAAATCAAACTTTTGACCCGGAAAATCTTGG